CAAATATTTTTTTATTTGTTAGATCATTTAATCCGATGGTCAAGATGTATTCTCATTTCTTTCGTTGAGAACCATTCTAACTGAAGCGCATCCCTATATATATATATATATTAGATGAATATAACATGAGTGTATCTTGTTTATAATTTGGTTTTGAACAAGTGCACCATTTGGTTCAGTGAGTTTTTATCACTCTGATTGATGCATTTGGTATACTTAATTGGCGTATTTGGTAGTGATGGATCATGAGTATCACTTTTTCCCTCTTGGTCTCATAGCTCATTTGTGACACCTAGTACTAAATGATGTGGCATCTAAAATAGCTCAGTTCGACCTTTACTGGTATGAATTTTTCTTCTTCAATCACGTTCAATAATAAAGAATAAGCACATCATCCATCCGTCTCATGGTTCTCGATATCATAAAGAGGATATCTTTCATAATCGTAATCGATCGACACCTGCTCGTTCACGAACTTGGCGACTTCCACGCCACCATGGAATTCGTGAATCCCAAACAGGGACGTCGACTACCAATACCGATCGTCAACAAACCGACTCTCGTTCTGCTGGTTCGAATCCCTTGTGCGGTTGTCTTTTGTCATCCGCAATTTCAATCCCAACTTCCGGCCACTCCTCGGATTTGAGGATCCATCTGACGAAGATTCTAATTTGCCTCTACGAGTGCACAACAATGAATATGAACTGCCCCTTCACGTGCGTCTAGTGGTCTTTTGGAGCAACTTCCTTTTGATCCGCTCGACGGCTCGAGTCATCAACTGTAAGCTCGTTCTGATAAAACGTACATTCTACCCCAGTCACTCGATTCGCCCTCAATTATACATGAATACACGATCGATCATTCTCAATGAAAGCATCAATAATAAAGATCGTGTATCATGGATTTGTATTTGTGAAAACCCGCACAAACGATCTTGGTTAGCACAAGAAGTTTTGTGCTCGAAAGAGCTTTTTGTTATTTCTTATTGCTTAATGAAATAAAAAATGATTACATAGGCTATTTAAAAAAAAAATACGAAGCCTATGAGGAAATAAATTATAACCCTAAAGAAAGTAAATATCTAAAGTCCTAAGAATCTCCAAAACAATCAAATACCTATACTAATTATGAATAGACTTATAATAAGAGCTATACTAGGAAACTTGGCCGACTTGCTCCTCAAGGCTCCTGGCAAGCTCAAGCCTCGCGCGGGATTCTCGGCCTGCCGCGTCATTCGCATCACCCGCACCCGACGCTGTTTTGCTGGTTGATTCAGTTCGTAGTTTGAGACGAGGCAGTTCGACTGAAAATCTCGATGGGCCGGTATGTGTGCACATCATTACTAGAATGAATAATAAATTCAGTAGTACTACCGTGTGCCCTGGCACACCTAGCTAGGTGTGCCAGGGCACATTTTGCACGCGCCCCTCACCCCCCAAAACTAGAAAATTAAGAGAGTGTAGTGTACATTCCTATTTTTCTTTTTTTAATTGAAAAATGAGACATATTACATAAATTAAAATATTATTAATTATTTAAATTAAAAAATAAAATTAAAATACCAAAATTCATAATTTTCATTATCTATAAATAGAGACCACATTTGATAGGTTTTTGAACACAACTAATTTTTTGTTTTTTCGTAATTATTTTATTATACTGACATATAATGAATATGTTACATAATAAGATGAATATCTTTTCAAATAAGATGAACATGTTACAGATTGCAGATTGAAAATAATACATATTCATCTTATTTTATAACATGTTCATCTTATTCTATGACATGTTCATTTTATTATGTAACATGTTCATCTTGTTCTATAACATGTTCATTTTGTTATGTATGTAACATGTTCAGCTTATTCCATAACACGTTCATTTTATTATATAACATGTTCATCTTATCTATAACATGTTCATTTTATTATGTAACATGTTCATCTTATTCTATAACATGTTCATTTTATTCTATAACATGTTCATTTTATTATGTAACATGTTCATCTTATTTTAGAATATGTTCATCTAAATTTCATATGTGAAATGTAACATTTTCATCTTATTCTATGATATGTCATCTTACTCTATAACATGTTCATCTTACTATGTAACATATTCATGTAATTATAAATTTGCGTCATAATCTCCAATAAGATAAATTGATTGTAAAAATAGTAAATTAATTGTGTTCCAATGTGGTCTCTATTTGTAGAGAATGAAAAATTATGAATTTTGGTATTTTTATTTTTATTTTTTGATACAAAATATGAATGATAATTTAATTTATATAATATAATATATGAAATTAATTACCCAATAAAAATAAGACACATGTCCCATTAAAAAAAAAAAAAGACACTTACCTTTTTACCTCTCACGCGCCTTTAGAGGAGATGTAATTCACATAGCGGCCCGAGTATTTGCGAGTTAACATGCAACATGAGCGTCCCAGATAGTGGAATAACGAAACCAGAAGAATGATAACGTGATTCATGATTAGAGTGGTTTTCCCAAATGTTATAACGCGTTGGAGATCGATATTTTATTTGAAAAAAGAAAATCAAAGAAAAGGTGAAGAGTAGAAGTTGGAGGAACCCTTCCGATCAAAAGATTGTTCTCGCGGTCGCCCAACGACGAGAAGCCGCCGCCGCGGAGAGCAAAGGACGTCAAGAATTCGTCTTCTCGAGACGCCGCCGCAGAGAGCCAATTAAGGACGTCAAGTAGTCGTCTTCTCGTCCAGTGGTGAGAGCTCTCTCTTTTCGTTTCGGCAGTTGATTTCGAATATTCCTGCGGATGATTTCATGTTATTCGCAGTGGATTGCTTGGTAATTGCCTGAGATTTCATATGTTCGTGACATTTTGCATCTCCGGTCTTTTGAAATCTGTTCAATGAATTTTCTTTTCTTCGGTTCACTTTCTTTACTGCGGATACATTTATCGGGATTAGGAAATCAGATTTCGAGAAACTTTGTTAAGTGATTCCACCCATTTCAGTATTACAAATTTCTATATGAGTTAGGACCAACATGCACGGTTAATTATAATGTAAAATGTGTTGTGTAACAGCTTAATGGCTTCCTCAGTATCTCTGCTCCATGTGATAATATCAAGATAGTTCTGGCCCTTCGGGTGGTGTACAGTTCATCTGAAATCTAATTTTACATGATCATGTGTGTGGGTTTGGTTGGGTGTTTACATTGTTCATGATGACTTTGTGTTGAATGTTGCAGTTTTATTGGCTAATTTCCATGTAGGAATTCATTCGATGTGTTTTGACATGTAGATTGATCTGACATTGTCGTTGGATTGTTTGTTAGTTTTCGTCTTGTATATTTGATACTGTTCATTTCTGGAGCATTATTTGATAATAATGTCTTTCAGTGCTTTAATCTTGATGCTTTGCATTTTATCTTATTTATTTATGTTCTCACCATTTTGTTTTTCTACATCTGCAGTATTGTTTACATGGTTATGTAAATCCAATCTTCAGCTTTTGAGTTTATGCCTTGTTATTCCTTTTTCGGTCCATGCTTCTTCAATTATCGTTCTGCTTTAAACCCCTTAGTAAAGTTGCATATACAGATCCTAATAATCTCTGGCCTGCCTGGCGTTTTTGTTTCAAAAATTGAGCATTATTTTTGTAAGTTGGTTGTCCTACCACCTTCTTTGTATTCTTTTTCTTGGTTCTTTTTTTTTGTGAATTTCTTTCCGGAACTCTGTTCTTTTAAGCTTCTGCTTTTGTACAAACAAGCATAGATCCCGGGAATTTTCCTAGTAAACCTTTGTTCACGTATCATTTTTCATAATGTACTTTTTTGAGTATTTATAACTAACTCTTCATTTGTCTATTAATGGAATCTCATTATTGACTTATATGTTTCACTTTCACCTTGTAACAAGCCGACAAAGAAACCCCTGCCCATTTCATTTTTTTTTTTTTTTACCTAATATTCTGTAAACTCAACGGGAAGTGTTTCCCGAACTAACATTCTCTCGTAAGCCGGCTTATTTTGATTGGGTAAGTCTCCACTTCTCATGTATAGCTTACATGCTTACGGGCTTTAGATGTGATTTCTTCTTCCTTGTTACTACTTTGTTTATCACTTGCTTCTATGAATCCTTCCATCCGAATTTCGTAATCTGTCTTGTGTCATCCTTCTTCTAGTTATTTTGTAATTCATTATCACAATACTTTCTGTGCAAGTGCTTTTATGCTATATAAATGTAGGTGCACGTATTCCTGTGATTTTTTTTATCCCTTTTGCTATAGGTGAAACCTTAACTGACTACCTTGGAAGAGAACTAATGAAATTTGTTCATCGTCATCTTTTGTCATCACCAATGAGTTTAATCATCGCTCAAAGTTCTGATAATGTCTTGATACCTTCTGGTTGAAGTTGAATTGTGTTAATGTTTGTTGTCCGGTTTTGGCATCTGAAACACTCTTTATAGATTTGGGTGAAAATTCCATCCCTTCATTGTCGGCTACCGACCTTTGTTTCTGAAATTGTCATCTTTTCTCCTGTTCCTCATGGTTGTCTCAGATTCCTCTAGTCATCTACTTTTGTAGTTGTGTGCATTGGCTCAATGAGTTTTTCTATTTATGAACTTTCTGATCACACATGCCACTTGGATGAAATATTTCTAATTTAGACCTATTCTCATCTTGCATTACATCAATGTTGTTGTTTCTGCCTTTTGCCTAACCATTATGTAAATATACTAATGCATTTTCACTCTACTGTTTACTTAGCAGAGTTTAATTGCCCTTTCACATCAATCCGAGGTGTTTTTTCGTTGATATTCATATCAATATATCTGATATACTACTACGCGCAGGTAGATTGATTCAACTTTTTCCTGAAAATTGCTCTAAGTTGTGCTCGAGATCGGAAGAATGTCAATGATACGTAAGTCGTAATTTTAGTCTATTTTGAAATTTTTACTGTTAGCAAAAAAAATCACTATTAAAACTGTACTTTCCAGGTCATACTATGTTACAAGGGATTGGGATAACGGATCCCAGGAAATCCACTCGCTGCCTTGCAGCATCAGAGGTATTATACTTCTTTCAGTTAACTTAACTGTGATATTCATGTGATTTAGTGTTGAACTGCTACGTATGACTGTTAGACAACATCTGGCCAATCAAATAACAAGGGACAAGATTTCAAAATGTAATTGTTTCCTTCTTAATCATTCATTTTTAGCTACAGTGACCCTGGGATCCCTGCAATGCAATAATCAATTGTGATATCATTCTAGCCTCATGCCAATGCGACTATAACGGAACAATACTTGACTGTCAGTGATCAGTCATTATTAGCCGCAATTTGCCTTGGGATTCCAACAATTCTAGAATGACGAATAGTTTTTAGTTGCGGGCGCTGAGCAAACAATATTTTTAGTAGTTCTAGACGCCTTAACATAAGGAATGTCTTACATATCTGTTTTGCATGGGCCGCTGAGTTCAGTTCTTTGAAACCAACTGTCATGAATATCCTCATACAAGTTGATTTTTGTTTTTACAGCCTTTTAGATATAATGCTACAATGTGAAGCTCTAATGTGATTACAATTTGAACAAAGGCAGATGGAAATAAGTTTTTTTATTTTTGCGATAATTCCATCCTTGTTTTGCTACATATTTGGGTTCTTTCCTACTTTGCTCTACAATTCAACGGTGCCTGGTTGGTTCTCCACTTCCATGTGTTGCTGAAATTTCAACATCCAAACTCAGATACGAGAATTTCTGTTGAGCAATATCTGTTTTGGGAGTGTTTCGCTAAAAACATTTTGCAGTAATTAAGGACCCAACTCCAGGCTGATTCTTGTTCTCTAACTTTGATATCTTTTATATTTGTTGTCATGATACACAGGACTTAATTAGGCGTCTGGAATGCAAGTATACCGATTCACAATACGAAGTTTCTTCCCTTGCCTTTCATAAGAGAGGGAAAATTCTTGCATTGGCTGGTGACGAAGGATATATTTCACTTTGGGCGTTGGATCATTTCCCCCCAAAGTTGATGAGTGAAATTTGTGTCGATGAAATCTCCATTAAAAAAGTTGATTTTGTCACGGGCACTGATAATCAACTCGTTGTCTTGTATGATCCAGGGGTAAGTCTTATATTTGCATCGTATGTAGCTTTTTTTCTCTTTTCCGAATAACTTCATTGTTATCTGACAGTTGAATGGAATGTGTGCTAGAAATTAATGAAGTTTCATTTCAACGAGTCTGGAGATCCTACAATAATAGACTTGAACTTGGACTTCGGCGACGAAGATGAAGACCTCGAGATGTTCGCCCCAACACAGGAACATTGCCTCATTGCATGCTCGCCGTCTTCTATTTTCCAAGTAAAGATTATATACTCATTAATCTATATCCATGAGGTATATATTGGATTTTATATTTCTGTTTCAATGTGTTAAATGTGCATTTTCAGGTTGATACGAGGGACCCGCATGTGCAAGTTATTAAGAAAACTCAACATTATATTACTGAACTTGCAGTACATGACAACTTAGTTGCTGTTGCTACGGTAGACAGCTATGCTCGTATCTATGATACCCGAATGACTAGATCACCTTTCACAAAGTTGCGTCCCGATGTCATTGGCGATAGCGATACAGTTGAAACATTGAAGTTTTCGGTCCATGGGGAGCTCTTGGTTTCGTTTTATCACAAGGATATGTATCTTTTCTACAAGGATGACCATTATTCAAGTGGACAAATGGTAAGTTACCTCATGCAGAGGATGAATCTGCAACCAAGTAGTATATGCTTTTATGGACCCAATTGTGATTACGTCTGTCGTCTATGGGATTCCGGGGAAATAAACTTCTGGAGGAAAGGAGAGAGTGAACCTATTGCTGAAGTTGTATCAAAGTCAGGCTTTAACTCACTTGTTTGTCATCCATTTCTTCCCATGCTTGCTGGCTTTAGTGACAAGAGTACGGAGTTAATGACTTGTGCTCCACAATACTGGTGAACAATAGGTTAGTCCAATTTCGCTCGTCTTTCCCTTTTGACACTTTAAGGTAGATTCAAATGAGTTATCAACGCATTTTCTTCACTTACTTTCGTTATTTGGTTCCAGTCATTTGCAATGTTGTTATCTTGTGTTCATTTTTAATTAATTATCCCTTTTGTTTCTTTCCCTGATATCAGGTTTAAGCTGAAAAGAGTGTGTGTCTGCAATTGAACTGGAAGTTCCAGCAGTTACTTGGCGATTATCTGTTCGAAAAGTATCAAACTCTTGCATGGTGCAGTGTCTTTTTGAACTAATACGTGTAGTTTTGTTTTTTTTTTTTCGGCCTTTGTCGGTAAAAGAGCTAATGTCATTCGATCCTATTCTGTCGATAACATCTTTAATCGTTGTCCCTTTTGTAAAATGATTGTATAGATGGCTAATGAGTAGATTCATGTGGAAAGCAACTGTTGCGACTACATATCAAAGTCGTATTAATAGAGAACACTGCAAAATATTGTATGTCTTGTGTCATGGTTGCGTCTTGTGTCATGGTTGCAGAAGTTTTCTAAAATCAGAATGCTGTGAGTTGCTTTCTTGAGCTGATTCATTATGAGCTATGGTTGGTTTCTCACCAATTTCGGGGGTTATTGGCCTTTTGGATTTCCTTGTTTGCCAGACGTCCAATTGTCCGATGCAATTTAGAAGTTAAAGGCAACATCCTCCTTGTATATAATTCCCGAATCGCTGAGCATACGTGGCTGCTTCTGGTGCTTCGAAATCCTACTCGGCGAAAAATCATGCTTCGTAATTAGGTTTGGACAAATAATATTGATATATTAATAATTAATAATCTAGGTTCGGACATTCTATAAATATTATTTCGCTAACTTATGTATTTTAATATCACTTGTACTAATATAACTTTTTAATTCTCTGTAGTTTTACATAGTGAGACACTAAATGACTAATATATCCCTGATTTTTTATTTGCTTCCTTAAATTAGCTATTGAATTGTAAATGTATTTTAATAGTTGATAACTTTTGTTTTTTTTATCGGTTTTACATATATAATATATAAAATTAATCATCTTTTGAAGATCATCGATTTGACATCCTTATTGTATATACGGAATATATAAATTATATTTATCTTTATAATAATAAAAAATAATAATATTTATTAATATTCATTAGAAAAATAAAATTATTTCTCAATTGATATATTTATGCTTAATTTAGTTATATGTTGTAAGTTAAAAAAATTATTACAATATAACACATGTAAGTCGCACAAATAAAAAGTGTCATACTAAATATATAATAATATATATATTTTTTATAAAAGGTATTTAAATTTTCAACTACTTTTTCTCATTAATTTTATATTTTAATGAAAAAAATTAGCGAACACCGTGTAATACGCGGGTGTTGTACTAGTATAATAAAATGGGAAAAAGAAATCTACATCTATCTAAATATCTATGTACTATATAGTATATACTATACTATTCTACAAGGACAAAACGAGTGTTTTTTTTTTTTTGTACAAAAAAAAGAGGCTTGAAGTCTAAGCTAGAATTTGTCGAGGGTGTGATACCACCATGCTATCATGCTCTAGCCAAACGACCGCTCCGTTGGGAGGAGAACTGAGCCGCTGGAGGCCAAGAGAGACGGAGCCCGCCAAACTCGCTAGATAATCCGCCACAAAATTTGTTTCTCGGTGTACATGTTGAAGATGAACAGACCAATCCCGTTTAATGACGTCACGTATCGCCCTGACCAGGCCTCATGTCGTCCAAAGGAACCATCTGGATTATGTACCATGGCCTTCACACACTGACTATCCACTTCAATAGATACTTGTCGAAACCCTAAGTCCCATGCCAACAAAAGAACCTGAAAGAGCCCCCACAGCTCTGCTCCCGTAATGGTGCAGGCCCCAATATTTTGAATAAAGCCTCCAAGCCACCGCCCCTTCTCGTCACGAACCAAACCTCCCGCACTACCCAATCCTGTACTCTTATTAAAAACCCCATCCGTATTGACTTTAACCCAACCGTTAGCCAGGGGAGTCCAATGAATCAATCGCGTGACATACCGTAAAGCACCAAGGCGACGAAAAGACAGCTGCTGCCTTAGTGTAGCCCGTGGACGAGCGTCGAACCTCCAAAAGCCTAGCCGCAATGCTGGGATATTGATTTTTGAAAAGACGCTCGTTACGCCACATCCACAAACGCCACAGCGTTATCGCAAAAAGCGTGTTCCAGTTTTTAATCTGGCCCAGTCGAGCCTTCATCAGATTTCGGCGTAGCAGCTCTACCCGATCGAGCTGATAGAAATCCGAGTTATTACCATCTGGTAAGAGTCTCTGCCAGACTTCCTTAGCCGAGGGACAATCTCGCAAAACATGGAGAGTCGTTTCATCAGCCCCGCAGATTTCACAGGCCGGCGGGACTGTAACATGACGCCAACTGCGCTCCGCATTAGTCAGGAGGACGTTTTTTAGTTGCAAGCCACAGCACCATGCGAGCCCGTTGCGGAGCAGAAGCTCGCCAAATGAGTCGCCATAAATGCCGGCCGTTAGTCCCATCATGAGAGGTGAGTGCCTGATATACAGATTTAGTCGAGAAGCGACCATCCTCAGAGAATCCCTATATAATACGATCGGCCACATTCGTCACTTTTGGAGGAAGAGTCTCGGCTATACATAATATAATTGAAGAAGGGAGCAGACCATGAAAATTGTTCCATATCCAATTCCCTCTATCATCTACGTGGTCAGCAACCTTCGAAAAAATATTCGCCACACTCGTGAGTACGAACAAAATGAATCAACGCCCCCCCCCCC